CTGTAAACTCTTGAGCACTATTTCATTTTTTGGTATACGGTATGCTAAGCTTATGCACGAAATTAATTTAAATAATATCTTGGATGTCCTATACAATTATCTTAAAGAGCTTATCATTTATAATATATTTTTAGCAGTAAAATGATCCTGATTGATAATTTTGATTTTTTTCTAAACTATCTTCTTAAATTTGTCTTTCATAGTTCTCTTTACTAGATATTCAAAATAACTTAAATGAAAAAACCGAAAAATTTAATCAATGAATATTATTTTGCTTTTAATCGAATCTGTTATATTTCTGGTTCAAGTCAGACAAAATTTTCTTTTATTATTTAAATATTTATATGAACTCGATATTTAACTTTAGGGCTCCTTTATCTTATACTTACAATTAAACCTTCTTTGAATGCCTTTCCAGTTCATATATTTCAAATTATTTGTCTTTGAATTTAGTGAAAGCAATTAATCTAAATACTCTTAATTTTTTGAACAATTTACTTCCTCATAGGCTCCACGGTTGGGCTTTGAACGGTTTGGTCGACCGCATACCATTGATCCTCTCACAAGCTTTGCCTATTAATTCAAAGCCCTCTTTCTTCCATCATCGCTCTTCAGTCTCCAGCTCTTGCATGAGTCCACGATCCGAGCAGGCCATTCTGTCAGTTTCTGCCCCGGTTTCTAATTTCATTAATGTGGATGCTCCCTTCGCTCACACCCTTCCTACTCGTATTCCTCATTCGGCATTCGCCTTGCGCGTTTTCCGATTAGTCGGAGCGACCTGTTCCTCTGCCACTCCATCATGGCAACCTACTACCTCAAACTCAGGACTTGTTACGGATCCTACAGTTCCACAAATTCCCACTTCCGATTTATCTTCATCTTCCCCAGCTTCTTCAATTTCTACGGTTGCCGATGATATTTCAGCCCCTTGTTTATCTGGCCCCACAACAAGGCAAACATCGCCTCGAATTGGCTCATCAGACTTAGCTGACAATCACTCACCTCATAAATCACTGCATCAATACAATCAACCTCATATAAACCCTAGTCTCTGCCGCCAATGCCATCATCATCACCATCACCATCATCCACGTGGCTTGGCCTGCGTTGAAGCCAGCTTAGCCCTTAGTCCCGTGATCCGCCTTCTTCCACGCAGTATATTCTCCGCTGCCTCACCAAACACTGTTTCCGGTGGTTCCTGTGGTTTCGGGGGCCTTCCTGAGCCTGCATCTGGGCGTCGTGCTCTCCTGGGAGCCCGTGTTCAGCCAAATATAGTAGCCGATCTTCTTCCTAAAGCAATTTCTTCATCAGGAGGCTACTGTTGCCCCTCCTGCTCAGCACTCCCTTGCATCAACAATGGCGGAGGCAGCAGCAATGTCTTTTTTGACACCAAATCAAAAGAATTTGATTCATCTACTAGCAATATTCATCAGTCTGGCTCTCTTTTTAAATCTTTGTCTACACTGGATTCTTCCTCGCTTGATCAAAATTCTCATTCAATCCCCTTGACTGTGGTATCATCAGATACCAAGATTCCAACTTTATCTGGACACAATTCGATCTGTCCCAGTATTCTTTTAGGCTGCTCCCCACTAAATCAGTCTATAGCATGGCAGAATACGGAGCCGAGCTTGGGGAGTGAGGGCCTAGATAAATTGCATCTTAGTGAACTAGGTAGACAGACGGCTGATACAGAGGCTACCGAGAACCGTCTGTGCGATGGAAATCTGGCTCAGGCCCGCGACCAAGAGTGCATGGAGGCAGAAGCCGAGGAAGTGGATGCTGAGAATGAAGTCGATGCTGATGATGAAGCAGAATCCTCCGTGTCTGGCTTTTGCCAACAGCGTAGACAATTACCTGAGCCATTGGTAATTTTAAACTTGCATTTTTTGACAAAATTTTTTTTTATACTCCATTTTTAGATTCTATGAGATTAGACAGTATTTTCTTTTTTGGTTATTGATCTAATTTATTCTGAATCGCAATTTTATTGAGAAAATTGATCTATATCTAATGCGATCTACAAATGCATATATAAATATATTCCCCTTCTGAGTTCTAGGCTATTACTTTTTACGCAAGTATCCGTACTTATTTTTTTCAGTATATAGTGACAGAGTATAAACTTAAGATATTATTCGATGTTTTGTCTGCCAAACCATTTCCTCGACGTTATTAATCTATCCCTTCATCTTTACATCCATTGCCCGATCTCTTTAGCTACATCGCGCTCTCGAATTGTTTGAAGATCCGAAAGATGCACAAATCTGGTGCTATGCCGTCGCGGAAAGCGTAGCATGTGAGGCAGAACTCAGGCTCAGTCCTCCTGCATTGCTTAGCCTCACCTTTAATCGGCATCCATATCTACCCAGACCATCTACTAATGCTCACACAAATTCTTCCATTGCTGTTAGCGTTGAGTCTTCTATCATTCGCCCTTCACGAACAACCAATTCCATTAACTTTCGTGCGAATAAAGAAATCGCTCATCAACCTACTGATATATTCGATAAGCAAATAAGTTCAGACCATTCTGCCCAGCCTGGTGTTATAACCGCTTGGTTGGGAAACTGGTCTTCCCAACATCCAGGGCCCATGACTTGCAATGTGCTCCCTACATTTTTCCTCGCGAGTTGCTTAACACGCAACTTCGGGGCTGACCGCCTTTTGAAAACAGTTTCCGACAGTTTCTCGATGAGACCTCGCTCACTTTCCCTCACATCAGAGCACAAAGGTCTGTCATCCTCTCGTCCCTTTATATCTATCCCAATGTCTTTGCTCATTTATGGATTTTTTATTTATTTTTTACTTATTCTGGGTAATATATTTAATTCCTTTAATCAGGATATATTTTCTTTTGATCGAAGATATGAAGACCAAGATGGTGTGGCCTTTTGTGTGGTCGC